GATAACCATCTATACAGGAATGACCTGGATTTTGGTTTTGAATCTTGTAGTTGCTGACTTCTTTAGATGCCCCCTTGTACTTCTATTGGAAGAGCAAATCAGCAAATCACTACCCGTTCTCCTTCTTTATACTAATACAATTTTATATGTCTGTTCAGTTTTCTTTTTTTCTTATATCTCCTACCTTCTGCCTTCTAGGCTGAAGAGGCTTACTGTATTCAGTAATTCTTTTTTCAGGTGCCATTCTTTACCTAGTCATCTTTGTCACCCTTCTCTGAACCTTTTGCCACACTACATCTTATTTTGAATGACAGTGCCAGAATTGCATGCAGTATTCCAAGTATGGGTTAGGAGGGCATATGATTTTATACATTGCATAATGATGTTTTCTGTTTTGTTCTTTTCCTTTGCTAATATTTTCTAGTGTTTTAATTTTTCTTGACTGCTGGTTAGAATTGAGCTGAGGTTTCTCTGAATGAATATTAAGAAGTGTTAAAATCCTTTGAAAGTTTTCTAAAATAATCTTTATAAGAACCAAACTGACCATCTGCACAGTGAGTACGGTTCACTTAGTACAGAATGAAGTACTTCACTGTAGAGTGTTCGTACTGATAGGTATTTACTTGTTATTGACTACAGATGTAAAGGTGGACAGCACAAGTGAAAACTTTCTTGCTGTTAAGCATTTGCACTGGCAAGCATAAGTTAGGATTAGGACCCAGCTAAGGTGGGTGAAATACAGGTGCAAAGTCCCGGAGAGCTTCTCTAAAACTAGGGAAGATAGGCACAGGCTGTAAGAAGAAGTGATATTGTGATATAGACAGGAGTCTGAGCCAAAAAGAGTTAATCAGTTTGTCATTGCTGGAACAGACTGCAACAAAACAGTTTGCTGTCTTTCAGACTGATTCTCTACCATCTAATATATTCCTATTGGTTAGGTTAGTCTGGCACTAGAAGGTTTTGGAAAATATGTTCCAAAAAGTCCACATTAAAGAGCTCTAATATCTATCTCTCTTGTGAGTGTTGGTGCACTGTCCTGTCTGCACATCATCAATCCATCAGCTTGCAATTTTGCCTGTGAAGTATTGCACCGCGTTCTTCCTCATGACCCATCCTTGTTCTTTCACATTGCTTTCTACTGACATTTGAGAGAAGACTTTCTAAAGTACCTCTGGGTTTTCTGTGCTAATACTGACCACTACTTTTTCTTATTTTCTTTATATGACTTGTTCTCTGTAAAAGCAAATTAATCAATAGGACAGTATTTTAGAGAAAATTGTTAACACAGGCTTTTATTGAACAGAGTTCAAATTAACTTTTGTATTTTCTACAGTGTTTCTGGAGCTTGGTGAACAAAACTCTAAAGAATATCTTTGAAAGGCCAAGTAGTTCAGAAGGGATGTCCGGTTTTGAAGCAATTCAATGTAAAGACCCATTGAGTTTTAGCTGGTGGATTGTTAGTCATCTGGCATCACTCTACCAGTTTGACCGTAATGGAAATCTAGATGAAAAGGTGGGTATACTTTTTTCTAAATACCAAAGAGTTATTATAATTGATTTTGATCTCTTTGGTTATTTTTACTGATAGAAAACAAATAATGTTGTAATACGGGAATATTCGTACTCCTTAAAAGAAATCCTTTAAGGTTGGTGGTGTTAAGATGTGGTTTGTACAAGTCAGTAAACATTCTAGGAGCCTCTGACATATTTACATTATATACCAGATATTCAGTAGGTTACTGTATTAAGGAAACTTGAATATCCCAACTACTTAGTGGCACATATACCTAATGATGTAGCATATGTTTTAAAACTGTCCGCCTGCAGCATAAATGCTTGACTGCGTTTGTTATTTTAGGAACTGAACACATTAGTTTGTACTGTATGAAGTATAAATCTCAAACACTGACTGTGTAATTATTAATGCCCCTTTTTTTCTTTAAAGCAATAGCCCTGCTCTGGATAAATTTCAGTCTGTCTAATTGCATGCCCTTTTCATCACAGCAGTGGCACAATAAGATGCTGTCACGTGAAATGGGGAGATTTCCTTGACCCTGAGTGTTTGATTTGTCTGTTGGTGCTCCCAGGAAAGCCGAGACCCTTGTGCCTGACCTGTGTGTCAGCATCCTGTTATGGGGTGCCTTCACCAAACAGTCCTGCTGGATTGGAGAGCAATTCCCCTGACTTATTCAGGGAAATACACCAACAGGTCTTCCCACTTTATGACCCCTCAGCAGATCTTCCACTTTATTCAAGTGTGTTACCCGCTGCCAGCGGCTACCAACACCCATGAAGGACTCACAGTAACAGTTTATGGAAAAACACTCTTATTAATAGAAAATTGTGACAGGTTAAGGTTCAAAGATTGCCAATGATAGTATCTGACTGCAAAAAACATATTCAAAGCAATACACAGACAAACTCTAGTCCCAGTAAAAGTATTCAGTGTGCACAGAGTGGCTCTTACCCCATAGCCATCCCTGTGGGGGGAGAAGATGGGTTCAGCCTGTTGACTGATCCTAGCAGTTATGATGGAGCCTTCCCTAACTTTTTCTCCATTCTCGACTTACTTCTATACTATTTCTTTATGTGGAGCTTAAGTGACTTTAGTCATAAATACCTTTGTTACTTCTTTGTGTAAAGTTCCCTGCTTCACTTTAGATACAGTCAAAAAATACAGAGTGCATGCCCGGTGGGGGGTAGTCATACCTTGGAGACAGGTGACTTTGGGATGGAGGTGTGCACTAATATTACAATTAGGCTTTAATGAACCAAGTTCATCTGAGGAGAGAGATTTTGCCACAGTTGTTGGCTCAGCAGCAGGACATCTCCTACCTTCCTTGGTTGACAGGTGCTGTGCCGTTTGTCAGGTGCAAAGTACCATGTAGTTCCCCTCCCTGGAAGGATTTCCACAGAGCCTGGTTGTGTTGTCTTCACTCCACTTCATCCTCCGTTCCACCCCTCTTAGCAGATGCTTATTGTTGTATGGAGCTGCCAACTGCATTTCATCTAAGGACTAGCAGCTGTATTTTACCCTGTAATTTCTGTACCATTATAATTTCTGTTAGGTTGTGAATATAACTTCTCAGTTTCCTCTAATTTTATTCCCAGTCATCTTTCCATAGATGCATCTATATTTGTGTATACAGCTTAATTTTTATGTTGGTGTGCTACCAATAGACACTGTCTAATAATTGTTGAATTTAAGCTTCAGTTTAGGAAATTCTGGCAGTAAGCTGCAAGAAAGCCTACAGGCTAGAGCAGGCTAATCCCTGATTAATCAGTTCTTGTGTGTGGGCCTCATTGTGAGAGATTTGACATTACCATGCATTCTATAAGGGGCCTAGATGAGACCTGCACATCCTATTCCTACACCTGCAAGATGTATGCATACTTGGTACTGATGCATCAAATTCCTTCATGAACCTCACTGCAGTTTTCTACAGTTCAGAGGTCATATAAACCCTGACCCCTCTTTCAGCCTCTTACTCTGAGATTCATCCTGCCTAGTTTTAAATTTCTAATAATTAATTGGGAAGGAAATAGGCACTTACTGAGGCAATTAATCCATTTTTAGAGGTATGAAAGCTGCCAATTTTTCTTTATTGACTACAGAGGAAGCTTATTAGAAGGCAGCTGAAGACTCAGAAAATGAGGAGTTTTGGGGTGGTTTTGACACGGTGTGTTTTCTGGTTTTTTGGTTTCTTTCCTCGCTGATCATGTATTTTGCTTAGGGAGAATCCGGTCATGCCATCTTCTGTCATCTGTCCTTCTGTTCTTTTATCTTCTGCCTTATTGTCGTTGTGCTAGTTTCTGTTGGTGGTGGTGGGGTCTTTATGTTGATTGGTTTTTTTGTTTGTGTGGTGGATTTTTTAACATTTCAGCTGCATTGCTTATAATCCCTAATTTGCCAAGCATAAGCTCTGTATGGCTTCTTCCACAAACGGGGCCCAATTGCCCTTTCTTATGAACTGTCTTTTATTATTCGTAATTTATTAGTGTGTATTAAAATGGGAAAGGTCTTATCCTCTTTCTCTTAAAATCTGTACTATGATTTCCATTCCTGACTTAGGATGTGTTTGTGAACAGCAGATGTGTAAAAAGGGAAGAGTGATCGCATAGGTTGAGCAATTTGTTTTGATAACTTAAAATCCCCTCCTTTGTCTTTAGGTCTTCAAAAGCATTAGTATATAGAGAAGTAAAGAAAAATGTTGAATTTCTGTTAGTGCTTACAATCCTGAGTAAAATGACTTTCTAATAAAAGTAAGAGTTACTTGCTACTTTTAATCTGCAAATTTGTAAATAACAAAAAAAAAATATAGGGGAGGTGTGTGGTACTTGAGTGGTTGAATACTTAGTTGGAAAAACTCATGACCATTTCTGGTCACTAGAGAACTTGATGCCTCTGGGATCCTTATGCTTCTGCTGCTTCCCAGTTGACAGGTTCTTTAGGATCATGTGGCAAAATGTAGCAACTTCTTACAAATTCATACAGTGTAAAGTTGCAGACCAGGTCTGATTCTTACTCTGAAGGTTGTCTCAAGTCCTGCTTTTGCCTTGCTACTGTGTGGATGGGAGAGAGAACCATAGTCCATAGTGTGTTTCAGAGGAGCATTGGAAGATAGCTTTACTACACTCCCTGCTTATTAAGAAACTTAGATGGAGAGAAAAGGTTATTCCCAGGCTGAATACAGAAATCAGTGTGAAACAGGCGCTTATATTGGGGTTTTTTATATTTAATGCCTTAATCCAAATGCAGTGATACTGTTTACTTTGATCATTGGATTTTTTTTTCCTGTATCTCATACTGATAGATTATATATTTAGCCTTGGGAGAGATTTTTTTTTTCTCCAGGCACTGTATTATTTACATAAACCAAAAAAGAATGGAAAAAAGGATTCCTGTTGTTCTTATTTTAAAGTAGGAATCTGAGACACAGTGTCAGGAAGTGACTTGCACAAGATTCAATAATATTTTTTTCCTTAGAGCCCACCTTGGAGAAAAGAATTTCCAAGTTTTGATTTGTAAATCATGACACCATCCTGTGCGCACTCCCTTGATGTTTCTGGCTTTGCATTTCTGAGTGTGGCTGCGAGTTTGTCCAAGGATCTCTCTTGTACAAAAAAAATCTCTCTGTAACATCAGTGCATTTTCACTCAGTAATGTAATCTGTCATAGATAGTTGATGGTAACCATTTATTTAGGTCCTGTCCCCCTCCCCAAATTGCAACCTCAACTATTCTTCGAACATTGTAAGGTAAAATAGTGATATAAATTTGTGAAGTCAATGGAATTACATCAGTGCTCAATGTAGTCCTGTTTTGTTGGTTAAACACCTGATGCAATAGCTTCGTGACACATGCTTTCTTTTAATTAACTGTGATCAGAGGTGGGAGGGTGATGTGTCATAATGATAGTTATTCGTATGCTCTGTAGCAAAAATTGCCTCTAAGGCTGTGTCATCTGTGGAAGATTTTCAATTTTTTAATGTGGTCTGCATGGCCTTGAGGTTGTTATAAAAGCTTTTAAAATTCTAAGTAGGTTTCAGACTTGCTTCTTTTTATTTTTTCCCCTTTAGCTCATATAATGCAATTTCAAATATGCAATGATTCATATATATTGAATGTATATTTCACACACATGAAACTACTTCCTTCTACTAGAAAATTTTGGCCAGGTTTTTGAGAGACTCTGTTCTGAGGGATGTACAGTACGTGTCTCTTTCCCCATTCAGGTCCCACTTCACTCTTCTGAAAAGCGTTTAAAACCCAAATGGGGACCTGATGAGAAAAATTGCTACTTCTGAACATTGCAGGGGTCAATTTCAATATCCTGTGGGCTAGGGTAATATAGGCAGAGTTACTTGGGGCTAAGAATTCTTGCCTTTGAATAGAATAATCTGAAATGACTAAATGGCAAGATAAGCAAACATGGAACTTCCAGCTGAGAAGCCTAATATGGCTTTTCCAGGTAGTCAGCTTAGTTAATGCTTTCAAAAGTTTCTTCCTGCATACCCTGGGGGTCTCAGCTCAAGTTTTTGGTTTTAGCAGCACTTTCATGGACCCTAAGGTCTCCAGGTTCTGTTGACTTTTAGGACTCTCTGGGGTTGGAGGGAGAATGTTTTAAACCACCAGGTTTGGAGTAGATGTAGATTCTACTTATTTTTTGACAAGAATGGATTGTAAACAGTAGTCGTGCCATATTGCCAGTGCAGTAGGGAATACTGTAAGGATGTAAATCTTTTGGGATTTGAATGAAACAAGTCTGTTAAAATATAGGGACAATTGTGGGTAAAAAAGATTGCAGCAGGTGGTTGCTGGTGTTCTTTCCTGAGTTTGGGCTGAACCTGGGTGCACTCTTGTAATCAATTCCAGTTGGTGTCAGGAGTTTGCCCAGATTACTCCTGGATCTTGTAAAGTGATCTGCATACTCCAGATGAGCTGGAACTTTGGCAATAAACACCTGTTGTCTAACACATGTGTCCTTGGACTATGATACTGCTAAAAACATTCTGAGCAGGTCAATCTAGACATTCAGCGGTCTCATAGACATTTAGCATAACTAATATCTACTCATTACTGATAAAACTAATCAACTACTAAAAGGCCAGATTTACTTGGAGTCTGCAGTAGGACCATGCCAGTGTGTAGGTAGTCACATAACACTGGGCTCTAAAATGCAGCAGTCAAAAGTCTGATGTAAATACTAGCCAGAACTGTCTGGGAATCCTGGGTTATATTCACTATTGAAGTGCTGCCTTTACTCCTTGGCTGTTCGTTAATGTAATGGCCTCTCCTGACAGGATGCTAACTCTGATGCAAAGCCTTGGAATCAGTAACAGCTTAAGTCCTGCTCACCGCCTGTATTGGGTCTCACTGAGCTGGAGTTCATTTCCCCATACTGGCCTTCACAGGGCTACGCTTTGCATTGGCAGCTAGAAGGGTGTTGATAACACACCGGTGTTTTGGCTACTGCTGAGCACAGCATCAGCACTGTAACATTCCTTCCTCAGTTGAGGGCAAGATCCTGGGAGGGGACCCAAGTAGGCCAGCTGACCCAAACTGACCAAGGGGATATTCCAGACCGTGTGACGTCAGCTCAGACATAAAAGCTAAGTCAAGGAGCAGGAAGGCAGGCATTCATTGTCTCCAGTGGTTACCTACTGAGGAACTGTCACACACGCTGAAGCCCTGCTTCTTGGGAGTGGCCGACCATCGCTGCTCATGGGAAGCAGAGAATAAACCTTGTTATCTTTCGGTTCACTTTTGCATGTGCAAGCTTTTGCTTTGCTTCTGCTTTACTAAACTACCTTATCCCAACCTGTGGGTTGTTTTCCACCTTACTCTCTCTCCTGTCCGGCTGGGGAGTGATAGAGTGGCTGGATGGGCACCTGGAATCCAGCCAAGGTCAACCCACCACACTGCCCTAGGCATGATGTGCCCTCTGCTGTTCTGGCACAATTATTTATGACCTATTACCTAGGTCAGACCCTCCTCCCTTTCAGTCTTTCTTTCTCTTCTAAAGCTCTGGGTCGGTTCACTGCTCTGGTTCACACTGCATTCCACAAAGAGAAGTACCAGAAAAACTGAGCAAGTACATTCTATAGTTGTGAGGGCAGAAAGAGAGCTGGCAGGATGAAGAAGCAGCAGTGGGAACTTCTTAATTGATATGGCTCAAGTTGCTGAATCGTGAAATCACAGCTTTAGTGTAACTTTCTGTAGGTCTGTCTTTTCATTTATATTTGTTTCATGAACAGTCTACAGACTAAGGCTTTCTACCATTAGCTGTTTTTCAGAATCTTCTTTTTCTTTTGAAGCAAAAATGCAAAGCCACCAAGGAGTCAAACTGTGTTACACAAGTATTAATGCATCTTTTTAAAAAGTTCATCTTTAAAATTATCTTGGTACTCTCTGAAGTTCTGCCTGGAACTGTCACCAAGTCACAGCATTAATTAGTACAGTCAGACGAGGATGGAGCACAATGGTGTTGCTGCTGGAAAGTAGTTATATTTCAATTACCAAAGCATAAAATACTCTTTCTTGTAAGTTCTATACTGGCATTTAGAGGACAGCTATCTGAAGAACAATCTACAAGGCTTAACAGTTATGATAGTGCAGGGAATAAGTAAGGCAGGATAATGATGAAAGTACTATGTTCACACATCTACTTATCTACACAGGCTATATACATAGCTGAATCTATGTTGGACCTCCTAAAGTTATATTTATGTTGGCCTGGTTGCTTTATTTTTTTTTCCTTTCCTCCCCCTCCTTCTGTCTGAGAAAATGGCCTTAGTTGCAAAGCCTTCTACCCTTTTCTTTCCCACTTCGCATAAATAGATGTGGGGGGTTTTTTTCTCTTTTTAATATACTTTGCCATGCAAATCTTTTTTACTTCAGTGGCATGGCCTGTTTGATTCAAATTGATAATCATCTGTCTTTGCAAGCTGAAGAATATGAATTATAGACCATATTTGAACTACCCTTACTGAATTGGCCAAATCAATCATTCATGTTTGTCCTGGAAAAAATGAGTTAGAAGTGTTTTTTATATTGGAAAAAAACCCCAAGCAAATGTGAGATTGTACTTTTTCTTCCTTCTTTTCCCTTTTATCTTCTTTTTTACAGAACATTAAAGGAAGAAATTGTAAAACGTACTCCTTGGACTAATAAAAAATGCCTGAATGTTTTGCTTCTCTATTAAAGGTGAAGGTTGGGATTGCAGATGAGTCACTTAAAGTGGTTCAAATTGCATACTCTTCATTTTTGGCTCTTTATTTGTTTTTTGAGGGCCAATTTTTAGGACAGATATCAATTACATTCATATAACAAAAAAGCTGTTTTCAGTGATGACTACAATATGCTGCCATGAAACTAAATATTTCTGGAAATATTTTGCTTGCTTATTTTCACATTATTACATAATGTTTCCTTTCAGGGATGCAAATGCTCTTTCAATTGTTTTTCAGAAACAGAAGGAATCCAATTGGAAATTTGTGGAAGAACTCCTTAAAAAATCCACTGATGCTCAAGTAAGTGTGTAAAGGAAGGAATAATGGACAAAGAAAGTGTCAGGGATGGTTTCAGGAAAAGACAGTGCATGAAACCAAGTCCAACTAACAAGTACATTTTTGGAATTTAGTGGTTTTATCGCTGGTAAATGAACATCCTTGACATAGCTGAACTATGACAGTATACAGTCCCCTCCTTGTTAGCAGTTACGCTTGCTTTAAAGTGGTTGTGTTTGATGCTAAATTGTCAGATAACAAAAAAAGATAATTAGCCTGGAAGGATAGGTATATGGCTACTCAGACAAGATGTATTCAGAATAAGAACTGGAATCTTAGAAAAGGTAAACCTGATACTGAATGTAAGGATATCAAGTTGAGGAGACATGATGAAGGAGATAGTCAGTTGCATTGAAAATTCAGCTATATCCTCATCACAGCAGGAAGGTGACTTGCCTTGCTGAGCAATTTGTCTTACAGGCTTGAATCAAACTCTTACTGATAAGGTTCTAGTTTCTGAGCACTCATTTCATACCTTATCATTTTTCTTTCTGCACAACTGTTAATGCAATGCTTCATGGCCCAGAGGTCAAAATTGACCTCCTTTTAAAATTCTTTTAAATATGCTGTTCGTCATGTTTTAAAATATGTTACATTATAGTTCTGTAAATTTGTTGTAAAGTTGCATGGTACAAATCGCAAATGTTGTATCAGCAACAACTATAAAATAATTTCTTTATTTGTGTATGTTTAAGACAAGAATAAACATGTTTATTTTTTTTATTTGGTCTCATGAAATTAAGAAAAAGTTCTGATATTGAAAGCAAAAGAGGAATCAGTTCTTTTGGTTTTTTAGATTATTTTTACTGCCTTTCTTGTGCAGTAGCAACAACTGTAGTTGAAGCTGGAATACGGAACAATACTTGTTTCAACTACATTTTTTACAAGAAAATATTGGTGGTCGTTGGGATAGTTGAAATGATTGCATGATTTTTCAGCTTTTTAATACTCTATACTTTTTTACCTGGTTATGTCTTCTTTCAGCTTAAAAGATTAAATCTTTCTGAATGATTATACAGTACATAACTGAAAATACAAACTGTGCACATACATTAAAACCACAGTAATGACATTACTTATTGGATGCTTACCATTCTGTGAGAGAAACTGGAGAGATTTAAATTAGATAAGATGCATAAAAACTGAGTAGCTTATTAGCCATCTTCCTCTGTTGCATCCTCTGCACATCAGCAACCTGAGAAACAGTAAGAGGACATTTGTAGTTAATGTTTTTTCTTCAAAATATTCCTCTTTGCTTGTGAATGTTTATTATTTTGAATAAAAATTACTTTGAAGAATATACCTGGAATACACAGTTTTTGATGCTTCTGTTAAACAATTATTGAACTGTAGACAGTTTAGAAAAACAGCTAGGTGGCCAAGTTCAAAAGCAAAGATCTGTTTTAATTTCCAAAGGCAACTACTGTAGGAATTAAACCTTCATTTGCCAAGGACATGATTGTAACTATTACCAGCCATTGAAGGAGCCATCTAGTTTATTTCCTTTTTTTATTTGTTCATTATCTTTTTCTTGCATTATGGAATTAGCTGCCTGTGGGAAGTGCTCCTTGGGGCACATTAGTTCCTATATGTGCATGCACAAGTGAATGTAGCACTTTATGAAGAAATGCATCCTGCTCCCTATCCCTGCACAGCAGCCTCCTTGACAGTGTCTAGGAAGGAGATTTTCTTTTGCCAGCGTACATGTCCGTCTCCTCTGTTGATCTGTCAGCTTCAAGTAGCCACTCCTAGAGTTTATCTTATCCTTTTGCACCTCTTGAGTATTTTTGAGTCCAGAAAATGTAGGAATGAGAAGCACAATGAGATATCAAGAAGTCAGTAATGAAATGGAATATGGAGAAGCAGGAAAAAGCAAAAGGGAGAATAGTGCTCTTTGAATGAACAGCAGGACAAAATCGATGATACTGCTTATTAACAGATGACTTGAGTTTGTTCTTCAATCCTGTCTGAGCCATCCTTTTCAGCATATACCCTCTGTTATCTATACTACAGATACACAGCAATAGCTGTGCAATATAAATTAAAAGAAATAATAGTGCTGAATCACTCATTTGCTAGAGAGAGCAGGAATTGGTGGTTAGCAGCTTCATATGGGAGCTTAAAAATTAATTATGTTTAGTACTATGTCCATCAACTTCATAATCCACTTGTGCTTGTTGCTCCCTATCTTCAAAAGCTTGTAGACTATACATATTCAGAAAAAGAATGGGAATTTACAAAGAAGGAGGGGAAACAAAGATGACATCAACTATGCATAGTTTTGTGTGTTCCAAAGTATCTGAAAAAGGTACTGAACATATATTTTTAATGTAAGTTGATAATCTCCTACCAGTAACTATTCTCTTCACATCAGCTTCAAATTCTATGTTGTGAAAAGATAATTTAATAGGCACTGTTGCAGCCATTGAGGGTAAGGGAGCATCATGAAAGTAGAGAAAAGAATGGTCACCTCTGATGATGAATCAGCAGAAGCTGGAGTTGCCTTTAACATCCTTAGGGCGACTAAGTGTTGGGACGCAAAAATGACTAACCAGTGTTAAACCTGCAGCATTTTGGTAGTTTCAGTAATCCTGTTGTGTTTAGTGGTCACTTGCAGACAGGAGAGAGCCTGAGCCACCTTCATCCAGAATATGCTGGATTTTGGGTGTGATAAAGACCTCCTGAAGAAGGTGTGCATGTACAGGTGAAGGTGGTAGAGGGGTGCTGCAATGCCCTGTCACCAGATAGAAACTCCTTTATAAGGTTACACTCAGCCTGCTGCTGAGCAAGGAGAAGATGTGAAGGTGCTGTTCAGGTTAGAGGATCAATAGGGATGGGAAATAAAAATACTTTATTTGTGAGAAGATATGAGGAATCATGGGTATGTGGGCAAGTGTAGTGTGCTGCTTCCTTGGATATATCCTTTCGTCTTCAAACGGTTGAGCAAAAGGTGAGTTCTTCAACCAGAAATTACTCTCTTTTTTAATTCTTAATGGATAAGAGTTGAAGACAATTGCTCTTGTGAAAAATCTCCCATCTGTATCACAAAAAATGGGCATTTTTGGGGAGACTAGTTATATGAAGTGTTTCCTCCTGTTGTAATTTGGAATTCTCTTACTTGACTATAAAAATAGTAAAGCTGGTTTACAATTATATTTGTACTAAAAATGAAAATTGTTGAATGTTAGCGTAGCTGTTTTTGTCTATGAGGCAACATCAAACTGACTAAATTTGTGGAATGTCGGTATAAGATGAATTTGTGTTTATGAAGTTTATTGTGAGAATCAAAAGCTTTTTAGTTCTTAAGCACTAATAGCAATCTCTTATTAGACTTCTCAGTTTAGAATATAAGTGCTTCTTGTTGTTTCATTGCTGCCTCAATTTTGTTATATCTCTACTGTATTTTTGTTTAATTCTACTTTAAAAAAGATATAGAAGTATTTGTTGGATTTCTAGAAAACCAATTTTGTTACTACAGTAGGAGGTCATAAGAGAAAAATGTTGTGTTTCAATAATACTATCATTTTGATAGAATCTGGTGTTTCTCCCTTCTACAATAAATTAAAAGCTGAGTACCTCAAGAGTTCTGATAGTATTTCCAGCAGTGCAAGAGACCATTTTAAGCAAAAGAGCAATGAGAGAATCCATTAATCCCAGGGATATTTGAAGTCTGGAGAACTTTTTCATATTAAACTTGAGATAAAGCCTTCATTACAATCTTGGTTTTAGAAACTGTTCTAAAACTATTGTTGGACAGATAAATAATGGTTCAAATTGAAGCTACTCACAATGTCATGTTTATTGTTGAATTAATTCAACTGAAACAGTCATTGTTTGTTGAATTAGATTCTAAACATAATCCTAGATACAACATAATAGCTTTAAGACTAAAGGGAGTGTGTTTTGGTGTGTGTGTGGGGGTTACATCTTTTGTAACTGGGTAGATCCCTCTAGAGAAATAGATATGCTCAACTGCAATTTTTTGTTTTATATCAAGGCTCCTACTTTTATTAATTAAAAAATACCAGCTGTTCTGTCCCTTGTTTTTTGGTGCAAGATTGTGATTTTTGGGAAGTCTACTGATTTACTAGTTAGTTATGTCATATTTGAAAAAATGCTTGAGTATCTTTTCATTTGTAGGCATTTTTATTGTATTTGAATTATTATTCTGTATATTTTTAATGAGTCTCTACTGGAGAGTCACTTTTCTATTTCAGTGGGTTTTATATGTTATACATAGTGTCTTGAATATATAATTTTCTATGACAACTGAGAATGCCTTTTGAATTTGCAGGTTGTTTTAGAAATGTACCACTTTAGAAGCCATATGTGCCTGAGAAGAGAAGGCAGGCATGGTTAGAAGTTATTGTAGGTGACTGTATAATTGTTTACAGAATTGTGATAAAGTGTAGCAAATGAGGTTTTCCACATGAATGTGTAGCCAGGTAGAGACAGTGAGTGAGATTCGTATGTGTGGCATTTATTCCTATGAAAACAGGAATAAAAGCAGCTCTAAAACATAGTAAGCCATAAGAAGTAGTATTGTGGGTAAGACCAGAAGTCACAGAATCATAGGATGGTTTGGTTTGGAAGGGACCTTAAAGATCATCTAGTTCCAGCCCCTCTGCCATGGGCAGAGGCACCTTCCATTAGACCAGGTTGCTCAAAGACCCATCCAACGTGGTCTTGAACGCTTCCATGGATAGGGCATCCACAGCTTTTCTGAGCAACTTTTTCCAGTGTCTCACTGCCCTCACAGTAAAGAATTTTTTCTTACTATCTAATCTAACTCTACCCTCTTCCAGTTTAAAGCCATTCCCCCTTGTCCTATCACTACAAGCCCTTGTAAAAAGTCCCACTCTTCCACTAACAGGTATTTATTGAATGACTTTTTCAAACAAGAACAAAAATAACCAAGCAACCCCCTAAAAAGAACCAACACAACAAAACCCAATACAACCTAATGTCATCTTTTTCCATCACCTGGCATTAGTGATTTATTTAAGAATTTTCTGAGTTGGGTGAGCTTGGGATATAACTGAGGACCTAGCACTGTAATTGAAACTGAAGAAGATAACTCCCCAATATTTATCTGAGGCATAGTTGTTTTCATTCCCCTTCCTAGGGCTATGATTTTGAGTCATAAAATTAATCCTGTATATTTTTTTAATATTTCTTACTCCTTTTATTCTTCCTTAGCTTATTTTATGCTGTTACAAATTCCAGGCCTGTATAGTATCTAGATTTATTTGAAAGCTAGAAGTAGGTCAGAGTTTCTCTTGTCACAGAACAAGTTGCTACTATGCCAGAGATGTGTTAGACTTACATGTGTAAAAGTCTACCCTTAAGACAACTACACATAAGTTGTCCACTAAACCACTTTTATAGTCAATGGAGACAGTAAAGCCCTTACAGGACTACTAAAGTAGATGTCTAAAATAAACTGGATTAAACACATGATTTCAGTTGGAGTATGAAGCTCCTAGTATCCTACCTCTGATGCAAGCCCAGTTTTGTTGTCGTCAAAAGCTGAATGAGAAGAATACCACTCTCAGTATCCCAGAATTACAAGCTGAGTGCTTCACTGTGTTTCAATTGTTTGGTACTTCCTGTTTTCTTTCCTAGAAACCTTCTTCCTTTCGAATGCAAAATTTGGAACACAAAAAATGTTGTGTGGGAAGTCTTTTGTACTTTTTGTTTCCCCAGTGTTCAGACGCTTATTTTGCCCTTGACTTAGAATTGTCTGGAATATTAGCAACATAGCCATGTTGCAGAGGTTTGAGAAGGAACATGATTCAGAAACAAAAGATTTTCCTCTTTGAAATATTATAAAGAGAAATATGAGTTCTTAGACGGTTGCACCTTCCCTCTGTGTCAGTGGTGAATGAGCTTTCCTTGGGACATACATGATAGAAGGGCTTAAGTGTTCAGCTGACTCATGCATTCAGTATGGCTACTGCCCCATTTACTGTTTTGTGAGGTTCTGTACCATGCAGTCATGTTTCAAGTTAGGCTCACAATGTTGAGCTGGCTGTTACCCTAATGTGTCTACAGATCTGGAGGAAAAAAGGAGGCTCAGGGGAGACCTCATCACTCTTTACAACTATCTGAAAGGAGGTTGCAGCCAGGTGGGGGTCAGCCTCTTCTCCCAGGCAACTAGTGACAGGGCAAGAGGACAGTCTTAAGCTGCACTAGAGGAGGTTCAGGCTGGACATCAGAAGGAATTTCTTCACAGAAAGGGTTGTTCGACATTGGAATGGACTGCCCAGGGAGGTGGTGGAATTGCCATCCGTGGGGGTGTTAAAGAAACAACTGGATGTGGCACTTAGTGCTGTGGTTTAGTTGACTTGGTGGTGGTCAGTCAAAGGCTGGACTGTATGATCTGAGAGATCTTTTTCAACCTAAATGAGTCTGTGATTCTGTGACACAGTATTACATTGGCTGGATTACAGGATACAATTGTCAGCTTTTATCTTCTGGTTTGTTGCTTGTATTAGCAGATGCATTTACTCAACAGTATATAATTAAAAATAATTTTTGTATTAGGAAATTACTTTGAATAGTCTGTTAGTATTGGGTTTATGTGTAGATAAGGTAATGCTCCCCTCCTAAAATTAATTTCTTACTTCCTTTTCAAGACTGGTGTGTTAGAGGAACACTTAAGAATGCATCTTCAGTGCTGTTTGACTTTGTGTAGTTTCTGGGATTTGAACCTGTCTATTGTCACCATACTCTGGGATTATTACAGCAAGAATCTGGTAAGTAGATGAATATATGAAAATATAGAATTGCATTTGGGCAGTCCTTGAATTTTACTCATTAATTCTGATTTTCCTGTAGCCAAGCTTGATTGCAAATACTTCTGTAAAACTACCTAGTCAATGGCAGTATCCCTAAACTTGCTATTTATTTAATGAAATCATGTTTAAATTTATGCTTTGATCCCTTACATTATGTGCCAATAGAAAAAGTTATTATTTTAGTCTTACTTTTCATCAGGACTACTGATTTTAAGATCTTGTAAAAACACTTTGTCCATAGTTACAATAAATTTTTATTTTCTAGTTGTGGTAGGAATATATCCTTTTGTTTGTGTGAAGGATTGCATCTTATTGCATTTGGAATATTAGCATTTACTGTTATTTATAATCTTTCTGTTTTCATTTATTCTTTTAGAACAGTGGCTTTACTGTTCCTTGGCTTGGTCTGAAGGATCTGGCAAATGTTAGTAAGACTTCTTTGTCAATGCTTGAGTTGGTGAAATGTTGCTGCTGCGAACAGCAGATCCCTTCTCTGTACAAGTCCCGCAACAGTTACTTCATTTTTCTCTGCATTTTGGCACGGATGATTAAAGAAGAAAACAGTGGCATGCATCCTTGGAAACAAATTAAAGGACGGTATGGCCACTATTTAGTTTCTCTCCTGTTGTAAGAAGTGTAGTGAGTCAGTGGCCCTTCCAGCCACATGCAAGACGGGCGGATACTGTGCCCATGAGAAAGTAAGGTGGATGAGGGATCCAAGGTGATTAATAATTTAAAGAAAGCAGTTCCCTGAAGTTTCTGTTGCCAGCTGAGGCTGTAACAGGGTCCAGGAGCTGGGTCCAAGAATCACCTTGGCTTGTGATGATTTACTTCATCTTGCTGGCCAGGCATTGGGTACCCTGGCAACCTGTGCAGTGGTACAACCCAGTTGCCAGACAGGTAATGTAATAAAAGCACAGAAATTGTGTTTGAATTGCATATAAGCCATGTGTTGTCCAAGAACATGCAGACTAACACTTGGTAGGCCTGCAATTTCATTTATATTTAGTTTCTTTTTAATGACTTCCAAAATTTCTCACAATATTTTTTGTGAGGGTTTTAATTTTTCACTTAATTTTGAAACATACTAATTAAGAAGTACAGTCAGTCATTATATTTAAAAAACCATAAAATATATATGCTTTAAATCAAACTCTTGATATTTTATATGCTTACTGAATGAATCCGTGAGACTTTTATTATAGTAATGAGATTGTAGTAGTTATTACAAGGGCTAACTTTTAAATTTTTTTCATTAGATATAGAAGACTTAGAATTAGTTTTGGTTTACAGTTTTGATTTTTTTTAAAAAGATCTTATTAAGTATTAATAAAATTAATTAAAATTTTAGTAAATATTAGTAAGATATTCGTGTACACAAGTAATAAATACATAAGAAACTGCCCATGTGTACAGCACACCTCACCAAGTTATGTGGTGTTTTTTCCAAGAAAGCAGGGTTGTCTTGGCTATCAGAAAAGTATACCTGTCAAAAATATAATGTCTGTGTACACTTCACAAGTTGTTATAGTCAGTAAAGTTTGGGTTTTAAAATCACTACAACTTCATGGAAACAAATATGTTGTTGGATTTAGTATCAGTGTCTTGCTTTATTTTGTGATTTTAATTACCCTGCTCTGTTCTTACTGAAAGCAAATTATACTTATATTTTTGTGCTATTATAGCTTGTTGCTTTCCCTAATTTAAGAGTGGGAATAATAATACACAACACTCAGTGCATTGGTCTGCTCAACCAGTATTCGTAATTTCTACCTTGAAAAAATCAATTACACAAGTAGCAAAATTTAACAGCCTACAGCCATGATTTTGGGATGAACTCTGTTTTCAGCGGCTAACCAAGCATTAATTGATGCATGAAAAATGTAAATGCCTGTCAGTAGTAATTTACTACTAAACAACATTAATTGGATTTGCTGTAATTTTGGTGGCTAGATTTGATAACTTCAGCACCATTTCCAACTATTTTTCCAGGTGACAGAGTAGGAAACCAGCATTTATGGATGTTTAACTACTGTATGTGGAACTTACTTTAAATTTAAGGCGAAGGATATACCCAAGGTTTTAAACCATTTTCATCTTACTCCTCTGTTGTAGGAATGGTGACATTTATTTAAAAGTCCAGATCCAAGCAAAGGTCACAGAAAAGATGTCTTTGCAACTTTAAAGTGGTTGACAAAAACAGAAAGCTTTTACAAAGTAGCAGTGCTTGTCACCATCAGCTACTTATGACTTGAGCACTGTCCCATAAGCAGTACAGGTAAAGTTTACCATCTTCCTGCTGGAGAGAAGTTTCTCTTCCAAATGCCTCAGTTTCCCTGTTTTCTTCCAAACTTGGAGTCTACAGTTCCTTTCATAGTTATGCAATACGGGTTGATACAGACTTTGGAGAAACGCTGTGGAGAAAAGGATTTTCTTTTAGAAATCTTCCTCTCCCTTTTACTGCAGTGATGGTTTGGTAGGTGAGACTTTGATCACAGCAGCTGTAGCAGTATGCCATAACAGAAATCAGTAGCTGATTTCCACATGGAAATAAGAGAGTTTCTAGGGAAGAGGTTGGCATACAGGAATGATTTGCTGTTGCAAAGAGCTGTCATTTGGCAGCTTCCTTTCCTAGCAGCCCTCATGGGTTAGACTTGATTGATATGAAGGCATGGTATGGAGGACACCCATCACAAGTAGAGAAGGTTTAGATGTTTACATTGTGCTTAACTGTGTACTAGAGGTTGGATAGGGAAGAAGGGTTAGGCTGCACCTCGTATTGGAAACACTTAACATGTAGCTTAAAATAGGAGCAGAACATGAAAGGAGCACATTTGTTCCAGTAGCCAAAAGAATAGAAGAGGAGAGAGAAAAAAGGGTATTTAAGATTTAAATGTTATTGGAAGAGGATAACTGTAAACTAAAAGCATGAAAATACAATTTTAATCTCTCAAGCAGATAGAAAAGTTAAGAAACTTACTCTTTCCTGTTTTTTTGTTTGTTTGTTTGCTTTTTTTAATGTAGAATTTATTCCAAGTTCCATCGGAGAAGAATGCAGGAGCTGACAGAAGTGGGGCTGCAGAACTTTTTTAACTTATTCCTCATGCTAGCAATTGTTGTGGAGACAGAAGATATAGTGAGTCGAGTGTTGGATCTTTTGGATTTCCTGGCTCCATCCTCCATCACCATGTCTCAGAGAGCTCTCATCTGGAGAGGTCATTTTGCTTTCCTTTTGATTTATGTTGAGAAGAACATGGACGTTAGCGTCCTAGCTGAGAAAATCTCAAGTGCTTTCCGTGAGAAGGCAAAGGAGTTTTTAGTAAACAAAAATGACTACACGCAGAGACACAATCTCTGGACTCTACTTTCGACCTACGTTGATGGTGTCCAGGAAGTGTTTGAGACTAGCTGCTACTTGAGCCTTTCTGAGGAAAAGTTGCTAAATGATGGCTTTACAATGCTGCTGCCTGCTTGTCGAGGAGCTGAGCTGAGTATGGTCCTGAATTTTCTTCAGGTTGTACTAGCCAGACTTCGGTAAGTTATTTAGTTAAAGTGTGCATATAGACTGGCATGTTGTTTTTGTTTTTAGGGTTAAAGTGTAGTTCATATTAATTTTTTTATTGAAATAGAGCAAAAGGAAAGAGAAATCTCTGGAGGGATGTAAATGATATGTTAAATTTCAAAATCCACCAATACTTCAGTGCATTTTGAAACTCAGAAATGTTTCCTTACTGTTTCAGATTAGGTTTGACATCCCGAGATTTTGTTATAAATTAGTGGCTCTTTAGAAAGTCATCCAGTTGCTACTATTTCAGACAATATCATCTTTCCTTTGGGACAGGGAACTTCAAAATTATTTTCTGTACTAAATTACTTAAATTGGGGGGGTTGTTTTTTTGGTTTTGTTTCTTGACTGAACGTATTCTGTTTTTCAGACTCTTCATTCTGTTTTTTCTCTTTCACCAAGGTTGCATTCAAATACCACAGTTATGGAGATTTAAATACTTGTCTGGGGTTCAATAAGAAAGAAGGAAATCATATTTTACCACTTCAAGCAGTTTTGCTTTGATGTACTAGTTCATTTTTCAACACCCACAGTGCCCTTCAATAAGCATATTTTTTGTCTACTGATGCCTTTGAGAAGCAGTCCTCCAGTTTGAAGCCCAAACTGCCTTTTTTTTATAAGATATTAAGAGGCAGCTATTGATCTGCCATTACTTGAAATGTGCAAGACTGAAATATGTGTAAAGAGCTGTGGAAGAGTACATAATAGGAATACTGAGGCCCATATGCAAGATCTCTCTTTAACTAGGTCCTTTGTTATTGTCTAGTAGTTTGACTACAGCTGTCAATAGCTTATAGATCCAAAGACAACTGTTTTTCAGGCAGTCTTTTGAAAAAAGATGAAGCACAGAACTAAGTTTAGTTGATTTATTATTTATTATTTCAGTTCAACTGAATGTATTTCCTGGAATAAATTGGAGACTTCAAAAATACTTTGACATTTTCTCCATTAGCTAATGCACAGCATTTGTTTTTTTGTTTTTAAAGATGAAATAGGGAGAAATTTGAGACTAGTGAAGAAGTTGCCTATTTTGTAACTTGGCATTATTTCAAAAGCTTTCCAGGACTGGGGGTTATGTGGCCCTCTTGTAGCATTCCAGACTTCTCAGCTCACCACAAACAAAGTACAGGGCAGTATTCGTACCTTTTCTTACAAAAAACAGTTCTGCTTGAAATATTTTAATTATCAAGATGCTTAAACAATAATCAATATGAATATGACAAGAGTCTTGCTTTTAACAGTTCTTTATTGCAGCTCCTGTATTTGTACATTTGGTTACTGTTACCAGCCTATTTATCCCATCTACAGAGAAACTGAATTCCTTAACATTTAGCTCAACTCTGCACTGGTGCAACTTCACCTTGAGTATTGTGTGCAGTTTTGGACACTACAATATAAGAAAGATATTAAGCTATTGGAGGGTGTCCAAAGAAGAGCAGCGAAAATGAAGGGCCTTGAGGGGAAGCCATATGAGGAGTATGTGAGGTCACTTGGTCTGTTCAACCTGGAGAAAAGGAGATGGATGGGAGATCTCATTGCAGTCACAACTTTCTTCTGAGGGGAACAGGAGGGGCAGGCACTGATCTCTTCTCTGTGGTGACCAGTGACAGGACCTGAGGGAATGGCCTGAAGTTATGTCAGGAAAGGTTTAGGTTGGATATTAGAAAAAGGTTCTTCACCCAGAGTGGTTGGGCACTGAAATAGGTTCTCCAGGGAAGCGGTCACAGCACCAAGCCTGTCTGAGTTCAAGAAGTGTTTGGACAATACTCTTGGGCACGTGCTGTGACTCTTGGGAATGGTCCTGTGCAGGGCCAGGAGTTGAACTTGAGGATCCTTGTGGCTTCTTTCTAACTTGGCATATTCTGTGATAAAACACTTTGATCTTCAGGTTGTATTGAACACAAAAATATTACTGATTCTCTCTCCCACTTGGACAGACTCACTGAAAATAGTCCTCTGTTGCCATGCAAGTAAAACAACACTAAAATCACTTTCTTGGTTCAAAAGGTGTGGATGACTTCGTGCTAACCATATATTCAGCTGTTGTTGGCTTGACCAGACTGATTAGGCCTGGTCTGTCTGCAGACTCAAAAAAGGATAAAATGGTTCAGTGCCTGTTTTTAAAATCCAGGCTGATATAAGCTACTAGGCCTTTCATAAATGTAATTTCTCTGTACACCACAGTCTAATAATTTTATAATTGTATGACAGAGAATTTACAGGTAGGAAGGAAGTGAGATTACTGATTAAAGAGAGAAGCAGCTCCCTCTAGGCTGTTAGGAAATAATAACTTCATGTGCCACTTTCTGCTAACCCCAGATGATGGCTCACAGGAGCATTCTTTATTACTGATTAAGTAGCATTATGAAAATACTGACTTGGTTACATTAACTAAATGCCTCAGTATTTAAAGCTTAAAATAGCAAATAGTTTTAGCAATCCCCTTTAACATATCTTGTTGAATTGCTGGAATCTCACTCCAGGTTTCCCAGTTGCTTTTCTTTGAGGATACTGTAAAAATTCCAGTCTTTCATTTTCAGATTGAGGTGTAGCCAAAAGCTCTTCTTTAATTATAGCTATTCATGCTGCTATAGTTAAGGGTCTGTCAGCATTTCCATTATAAACCTTTATTTTCAAGGGTTCGTAACACAGCAGCGAAAACTTGCTCTGGGCTAAAACTTGGCATACAAGGGTTTGAAAGTGCGCTTGTTTTCTTTCTTTTTTTTAAAAGGCATCTGAAAAGAAACCCCCACCTTCACTGTTGTTTCATTACTGTGTTTTAAAATAACCCTTTCCAGATTTTTCTTGTATTTTACTTGTCTGCTAGAAAAGTGCTAGTAGCTTTTGATTGTTGTATTTACCTATGCTTAGACTGTTTAAAATAAGCTTTCTTAATCCACTTTTTTAATTGATTGTTACTATTATGATTATTTTGGTGTTTATATATTTAAATAGAACTATGACTTGGCTGGAGAATTCGTTTTTATCAGTTTTTGATAGGTGGTGACTGGATAAGTGGAATCAAGATGCTACTTGCTGGCACTTGCAAGTATTTGATCTTCGTAGTGAGATTCAGTGTGAAGTGTAAGGTTGTATTTTAATACAGTCTCCTTTTTAAAAACATGTAAAATAAACCATAAACAATCAAGAAACTCCCAAAAATCAAAATGTGAAGTGCTTGCTTCCTATGTTTGCTTGAAGGATTCAGCTTCTAGCTTAGACATAAGTTTTTTTCTTTTATTTTTTTTCACGTGTTTAAGCAGTGTTTTAGAATCCTGCCTTTTTTTTTTTTTTTTTTTTTTACTGAAAGGTGAATGCAGGATGTTTGCCCATGTGTGCTTTCATTTGTTCCAGATCTCTAGCACTAACTGTCATCTGAGTGTCTGATGGCACAAAAAGAAACCCTAGGTTAATAAAAATATGGCATTAAATGGATTTGACAGAACTTGCTGTAAAAATGGACACAAGACTTGGAGAAATCTGCTGTACATTCTTGGCACTTCAATATGTTAGTCTTAAAAGAAGCGTTTGAAATACACTAAAATGTCTTTTATTGCAATTGGGTATTGCTCTGACATGAGCATTCTCTTATTTTCATCATCCTGGCATTTAGGTTTTGTGGTGTGTTAGCACAAAGTTACAGGACTATAAAATGTGAGTACATGCCCAGGTGTAAAATCGCTGCTGTGCTCCAAACATCTTTGCCTAGTTTCAGGGAGACCTACTACTAATTCTCATAGCAGAAATGAGAAGTACCACAAACCTAATACTGTAATAAGCAGTAATTTTATTTTGAAAACAATTCTTATGTATTTATGCCTATTTTTTGCCAATTTTTAAAAATATTGCTGTGTTAATTTCATAAGCTCTTACAGGAATACTGACTAGGTAAACCCGTCTCTAGTTAAAAGTTGCATTAATAATTGGGCCGTGGATAACAACAGAACTGAATGTTTCCGTCTGTAGAGTGTGTTTAGCCTTGAGGTTGTAAGAGAAATCACGATAGGAATGCATTATCCAGTATATCTTTGCTATGGAAATGTATAGTCATTTGTAATTTTTTTTTGCGTTGTACTTGCCATCAAAACAGCCTGTGGGAAGCTTTTTCGAGACCAACAGAGGCCTCTCTCCCCCTCTCTGTTACCGTGTAAGTCAGCAGATAAGCTCAGGAGGAGAATAGAAAGGTCCTCCCTCCTTTTTTTCTTGCCCCTCAGGGGTTTTAGTGTTAGTCTTTGCAAAATCTTTTTTCTGATGTTGAGCTTCTGAAAACTATATTCAGAAGAGTTTGGAAGAGCATAAGTCTTCTCTTACCCATCCCATCCTGTGAAGATATTTAAAGCTACCAGCTGTGATGTTCTGATAAGCACAGAAGGCAATTCTGTGACTAAGCCACTGAACTGAGAGTCAGATGATGTTAGTTTGGCTCTAAGATCTCCCAGGCTTAATGAATGACCATTAGAAAGTCATTAGAAGTTGCTATGAATTTTGTTTACCTGGGTGAAAAACATGAAATAAATCCTTCCTTTTTCGCTTCACAACATACACCTTATGCCTGGGAAGCAAGCGTGCCTTGCTGTGCTAACTTGACCTATGGCTTAAAGTATTTTTAGTGGGTTTTTTTTTGAAATTCAGGTATTCCATTAATAAAACTGATGTTTGAATGACTGCAATAAACATCTAGTCTCTAAATGCTTTAATGCATGGGAAGCAAGCACTACTGTAGAATATAGCAGCATTTTGAGAGGTTTCTTGTGTCTAAATCCTTAAAAATAATCTGTTACTGTCTTCTGAGGGAATACTGTGTGTGTTCTTAGCTACAGTTGTTGCCTTAAGGTGTGGCTCTTATAATTAAAACTGAATTTTCTGCCTACTTTATGTGGGATTTGAGATTTTTTTTTTCCCAGGTTTTTATTGAGGTTCTTAATTAACATTTTACACCTTTGTCCCTTGTATTCTGATCTTCAGAGAT